CAGGGAGCAGAAGGACGTTATGAATTCACCTCCATCAGCTCTGAGGAAAGCGGGATCTACTACTGCAAGTCTGAGAATCAATATGGAGAGAACAACTCTACGTCTCTATTTGTAGATGTTCTGTGTGAGTAATAAACAACAGCAATTCTCTTATGCTAACACTTTATTTATAAGTAGGGATTTGTTGGTTGCTTTGTGCCATTGTGGAGATAGAGTCTGGTACATTTGTTTGTTATTAATAACAAACAAATGAACGATCTCCTAATATCGTCCTCCAGATGCTCCAAAGCTTCCCTCTGTGTCAGTGAGTCCCTCTGAGATAGAGGAGGGCAGTTCAGTGACTCTGACCTGTAGCAGTGATGCTAACCCAGCAGCTAACTACACCTGGTACAAGGAGGATGAAGACTCTCCAAAAGCTTCAGGACAGATCTTCAACATCACTGACTTCAGAGCTGAACACAGTGGGAGTTATTCCTGTGAAGCCCAGAACAAGTTAGGACGTCAAAACTCCACCTTACATCAGATTGTCTTGACTGGTAGGTTTCATTAACTTACATGCACTAATCGAAAATGAACAAAATGATAACAGGATTATGACAATTAACATATCTGGGTCCTGCTGCAGTAAACTCAGAAAGCCAACTAACCTCTTCACTTGTTTTTTTATAATGTGTCCGACTGCAACTGTGACAAATTAATTCTTGATTTTGACTTATTTGACTTTGTTTGATTTCAAAATAATGAACACGCACCTCAGCTCTCTTTTGAATCAGACTTTTGAAAAAGAAAATACACACGAAAAATATGGAAAAGGTTTTTCTGAGGTCTGTTTCTGATCATGCTCAATATTTTCGACTAGTGTAGACCTCAACTTGATCAAACCGACTCCGATAAAAAATGATATGTTGATAAAAAACTATTATTATTTTACTGTCCGAAAACACAATTTATTGAATTGTAAGATCTAGGTTTTTCTTTTCATATTATATTCATAAAAGCTTCATTAACTGTCAGTGTTTTTCGTCTTGTCAAAGGAGCAAGGACATCTAGAGCTGCTGGAATCACCACTGCTGTGTTCCTGGTAGTCATCCTCCTCTCTATATTTTTATTGATCAGGTAAGCAGTCCACTTTCATTAAGGTAATGGTTAGTGAAAGCACTAAACATGGTATGCTGGATATTTTGATAATATTGGGCAATACAATATGTAAATTAGGACAACACTGTAAAGTTATCTCTCATCTCAATCTCCTCCTCTTCTTCAAACTCACTGTCAGACTGAATTTTCAGAAATGTGATCGTCATATCCTATTAAAGATTAGTTGAGGCTGTGGCGCAGTGGGATAGCGCTGGTTCCACTCCCACTGCAGTCAACTTATCGTTATTGGACACTTCACCCCAAATTGCACCTGTGGAGATGTCCACAGTATTGAGAGTATGTAAGTTGCATTGGATAAAAGCATCTAAAAGGTCAAATGTAATGTAATGTTTACCGGAAGATGGAGGGTTAAATGTGTGGGAATCTGAAAGCAGAAAGGAGTTTGGTCTTGAAATGTAACAATGAGTCTGAGTTTCATTTATGTAAACAGGTCCCACAGTCAGGAACACCATGAAATAGTTCAAACTTGTGTGTTTGTATAATTTAGTGCTTTCTAGAAGTCAGAAATTATCTTGGATATTTGACTGCATGGTGTTATTAGGAAAGGATAGTAGGCACTTTCACACCGGAGTACTTTTCCCAGTACCACGGAGCCTCCAAAAAACCTCTAAAAGACGCAAGGTCAGGAGGCCAGCTCGTGCTCCAGTTCCGGCCCACACAGCCATGGTTCCAGCTCCAGAACTGGCCCATACAGCCATGGTCCAGGCTTCTGTTCCGGTCCCAGTAGCCATGGTCCCAGTTCCAGTTCCGGTCCCAGCAGCCATGGTTCCGGCTCCAGTTCCAGTTCCAGTACTGGCTCTTCGGGCGACGCCAGCACCCCGTGTCCTGTCGACGCACCGGCCGACTCCGGCTCCTCGTCATCTGTTGGCTCTCCGGTCGACGCCAGCTCTTCGTGTCCTGTCGGCTCTCCGGCTGACGCCAGCCCCCTGTGTCCTGTCGGCGTACCGGCCGACTCAAGCTCCTTCTTCATCGGGGGTTCCGTCGACTCGAGGGTGCCGCCAACTCAAGTCTCAAGTCTCCTCTCGAGTTCTTTCTCAAGTCCCCTCTCAAGTCCCCTCTCGAGTCCCCTCTCAAGTCTCCTCTCAAGTTCTTTCTCAAATTCCCTCTCAAGTCTCCTCTCGAGTCTCCTCTCGATGTCCCTCTCAAGTTCCTTCTCAGGTCCCCTCTCGAGTCTCTTCTTGAGTGCCCTCTCAAGTCACCTCTCAAGTTTCCTCTCGAGCCCCCTCTCAAGTTCCCTCTCGAGTCCTTACTCAAGTCCCTTTCCAAGTTCCTTCTCATTTCCCTTCTCTAGTCCCTTCCCAAGTCCCAACCCTATGTCCTGTCCTGTTGGGGGTCCCACCGACACCTGTCTTGCCGGGGGTCCTGCCAACTCCATGTCCTGTGCCGTTGGGGGTCCAGCCGACACCTGTTTCGTCGGGGGTCCTGCCAACTCCATGTCCTGTGCCGTTGGGGGTCCAGCCGACACCTGTTTCATTGGGGTCCTGCCAACTCCATGTCCTGTGTCGTTGGGGGTTCCGCTGAGGGTCCTGCCAACTCCATGTCCTGTGTCGTTGGGGGTTCCGCTGAGGGTCCTGCCAACTCCATGTCCTGTGTCGTTGGGGGTTCCGCTGAGGGTCCTGCCAACACCATATCCTGTCCTGTTAGGGGTTCCGTCAACACCAGCTGTTGCTCCGTCCGGGGTCCCACTGACACCAGCCCATGTCCCGTCCAGGGTTCCTGCCCGGACAACACTGGTTCCTATTCCGCCAGTGGTCCAGTCGGCCACGAACCTGGTCCGTCCTTGTGCCCGGCTCCCTGAC